ATGATGTTAAGTCTGCCATTAAATATGGGAGGGATGAGATAACCCTAGATATTGGTTTGAAAAGCAAAGAGCTAGACTTAAAACACTCTAGGGGTCATAGCAATCACTCTAAGGAATCTGGTGAAGCCTTCTTTGTCAGGGGCAGATCTAAGAGTAGGTCTAGGCACCCTAGGAAGGATAACCAAGATGAAAACAGTAGACAACCTGGTAAGAAAATGTATAAGTCTAAGAAAAGAGTGTGTTATAACTGTGGGAACCCAGGTCATTTCATAAGGGATTGTACCCAACCCAAAAGAAATGAACAGGCCAACTCTGTGACCAATAAAGAAATTAGTGAAGAAGTGTTCATGGTCTGTGATCAAGCTAATTCTGTGCTCAGTAGTTTGACTGAAACTGAATGGTTAATTGACTCAGGTTGTACCTACCATATGACCCCTTTTAGAAATCTATTTTCTTCCTATAACTTGAGTGAAACTGGTTTTGTTTCCCTAGCTGATAGTAAAAGGTGTAAAGTTCTGCCTAAGGTGTAAAAGGTTGTGCCTAAGGTCTGTGACCAATAAAGAAATTAGTGAAGAAGTGTTCATGGTCTGTGATCAAGCTAATTCTGTGCTCAGTAGTTTGAATGAAACTGAAAGGTTAATTGACTCAGGTTGTACCTACCATATGACCCCTTTTAGAAATCTATTTTCTTCCTATAACTTGAGTGACACTGGTTTTGTTTCCCTAGCTGATAGTAAAAGGTGTAAAGTTCATGGTATTAGTGACATCTGTCTAAAACTTGAGAATGGAAATGTTTTCAAATTAAAAAATGTTAGACATGTCCCTGACCTTAGGCACAACTTGCTTTCTGTTTTTGCTTTTGAAGAATGTGGTCTTGAGGGTAAATGGGGGAATGAGTGTATGAAAATCCTGAAAAACTCTCTGGTTTTGTTTACAGCCTTGAAACAAAATAACTTGTATGTTATTCATGCTAAACCATTTTCTGAAAATGCTAATGTTGTACTCACTGATAAGTCTGTGCTTTGGCACCAAAGACTTGGTCATATGGGTAATAAAGGTTTGAACATTTTACAAAAATCTTGGTGTTTTGGAAATGACTTGGTGTCACCTATACCATTCTGTGAGGGTTGTGTCTTAGGTAAACAACATAGGGTTCAGTTTCCTACCTCTAGCTATCCTAGTGAGCCTAAGTCCAAAGTTGTCCTTGACTACATACATGCTGATGTGTGTGGTCCCTACCCATGGTGGTAGGAGGTACTTTCTATCCATAATTGATGACTTTTCTAGAAAATTCTAGGTCTGTTTGTTAGTACATAAATATGATGTGTATGTTAGGTTTAAAGAATGGAAAATAATGGTAGAAAATCAAACTGGATGTAAGGTTAAAACCTTTATAACTGACAATGGATTAGAATTCTGCAATAAGGATATGGATAGGTTGTGTACTGAGTGTGGGATTAGGAGACACAAAACTATGCCCTATACTCCCCAACAAAATGGTTTGGCTGAGAGAATGAATAGGACCCTCCTTGACAAAGTCAGAAGTATGCTTGCTACTTCTGGCCTCCCCAAGAAGTTTTGCGGAGAAGCTGTCAACAGTGCCACCTACTTGATCAATAGGTCTCCTTCTGTACCCTTAGATGGTAAATGCCCTGAGTCTGTCTTCTCTAAGAAACCCCTTGACCTGTCAGACTTAAATGTGTTTGGATGTGCTGCCTATGTACACCAACAGACTGACAAGCTAGATCCTAGGTCTAAAAAGTGTATTTTCTTAGGTTATCCTGAAGGGGTAAAATCGTATAGGATATGGGATAGGAGTCAGATTGGTTTTAAAGTCAGATTTGTGTTCAATGAAGTTGATTTTCCTTGCTTATTGAAAAATGTGACTGACCCTAAACTGAGCTCTGATGGCACCACTCCCAGTGAGGTGGAGCCTATCTAGACTACTGCTGCCCCTCTGTTTGATGAGTTTGAATCTTCGGATACTCCGGACCTGACCAACACTTTGCATGTCACCCCCTCCACCTCCAGTGAGGTGGAGCAGCCTACTAGGTTTAATAATCATGATGAAAATGTGCATGATGTGTTTGCTGGAGATGATTCTACTGATAACAATGATTTTTATGAAATGAATACTGAGAATCAGAATCTAGATAACTACCAGTTAGCTAGAGGCAGGACTAGGAGAAATATAAGGAAAATTTCTGATAGCATGATTGACTATGCTTTTCATCTGTATGATACTTCCTTGTTTGCTTTCTCTGTTTTTGAAACTCTTGAATTAAATGAACCTAAAACCTACCAGGAAGCCCTTGCCCCTAGAGAATCTAAAAATTGGCTTAGTGCTATGCAGAGTGAAATAGATTCCCTTAAGTTGAATAAAACTTAGACCTTAGTTCCTAGGACGCGTAATTGTTCTGTTGTTGAGTGCAAATGACTTTTCAAGGTTAAAGAGGAACCTAATAACATTATGTTTAAGGCCAGATTGGCAGCTAAGGGTTTCACTCAAAAGGAAGGGGTAGACTATGCTGAAATTTTTGCTCGAGTAGTAAAATTTACTACAATTAGGATGATGCTTGCCCTAGTTGCCCATAATATCTGGGAGATGAAACAAATGGATGTTACCACTGCCTTTCTTCATGGTGAATTAGATAAACAGATCTACATGACCCAACCTGAGGGTTTTGTGGACCCTAAGTATCCAGGACATGTTTGTCTACTTAGGAAGGCCCTCTATGGCCTGAAACAATCACCCAGACAGTGGAACATAAAATTTGACCAATGCATGACTTCCTTGAGTTTCAAAATGTCTGATTCTGATCACTGCTTGTATTTTAAGAATACTGCTTTTGTACCTGTTTTCTTGTTGATTTATGTTGATGACATGCTTATCCTTAGCCCCTCTGAGAATGCTATTAAGATTGTTCAAAAATGCCTTTGTGAAAACTTTGCTATGAAAGACCTTGGAGATGCTAAGAGAATCCTAGGGATTAATATAATCAGGGTTAGGAGTAGATGTACCCTTACCCTAAACCAAACCTCCTATTTAGATAAGGTCTTGAAAAAGTTCAATCTTGACTCTGCCCAACCTGTAGATGTCCCTTTAGCACCTCATTTTGTGCTAAGTAAGGATCAGTCCCCAAGGACTGCTCCTGAGATAGATAGGATGAAATCGGTACCCTATTCCAGTCCTATAGGGTCAGTCATGTATCTCATGGTAAGCACAAGACCTGATATAGTTTATGCTGTTAGTTGCTTGAGTAGATATATGGCAAACCCTGGTTTATATACGTAGTATATTAAAATGTATAATAAAATATTATTAAAATGTATAATAAAAAATATTATTTAATGTTGGAGTTTGTTTTTTCTTTTTTCAATCAACCTTCTAACTTAAAGTTTTTTAATTTGTGCATTATAAAATATTTTAGGTATTAATTTTATTTTATATTTTATATTTTAAGATGAATATTTTTTGAATTTATTAAATATTGTGTTTTAATTATTAACATGAGTTTTACATTATACTAAATTGAGTATAGTGCAAAATAAATGTGCATGATTAAATATTATAAGAACAACACGATTATATTTGTAATTCAAGAAGAAAAGACTAAATTATTTTTAATATAACATTTTTATATTTTTCATTGTTACATATAATGACAGTTTATTAAATTGTTAATAACCAATCTACTAGATGTACATATTATAGAAAAAAGAGTTTATGTTATATATTCGAATGAGTATAACGATTAAAAAATGAGCAAAAAATGAGCATACACTATTAATTATTTGAACACATTAGAGAATTCAAACGAGTTTTTGAATTTTTCGATGCTCATTTTGTAAGCTACATATGCTCATTTGGTATTGGTTTTATGCTCATTTTAAAATGTTATATCAATGCATATTTTAAAAGTATCGTATTACATTAGTTTCATGTGAAAGTTGATTATAGATAAGGAAGCACATGCCATGATACTCATTGCATGTTGTAATACTCAATAAAGGAGGTTTGATGCTCAATGAAAATGTTTTGATGCTTAACTATAAAAAGCTTATGATTTTCATATTAATGCTCATTTTGTAAGTTACTTGTGCTCAATTGTTACTCATGTTATGCTCATTTTAAAAATGTCATATCAATGCATATTTCAAAAGTACAATATTAAAGTAGATCCGCATATTGAAGTTCATAGAAAATGATTATAGATATAATTTAATAAATTTTTATAAAAGAAAAAATATGAAAAAGAAAGTAAATTAGAAAATATGAAGCAGAGATCGCGATGCTCATTGTTAGACTCCTAATACTCAATAGAATATAATTCATGCTCACTAAAACTGCCATAACGTTTTAATATGAACACTATTACGTATGGACTATTGAAATGAGTTTTTTATATACTAATATGGGCATAATGTTTAACATAAATGTGAATTGATGTAACATTATGAAACCAACAAAATAAAATTTAAGTCTTGAATAGCGTATCATGGACTATAAAATTGTTGATGAATTTGTTATAATTCCTATAGATTATTTATTGATAATTTATTAAATAATTTATTCAAAATTTGTAATAGTCAATTTGATAGTCAAAATTATGAATTATAAATATATAAAAAAGCAAAAGAAAAGAACATGAACAAAAATCATGGGCAATGGGTTGTGGTGAAATACTTCGTTGTACGGTTCCCACCCGTACGATCAGTCGGGTGTATCATATACGAATTCAAATATATATATATATATATGATTACAAGGACCACAGTTAGATGAGTAGACTCATTACAAATATTAAAACTATCTTGATTTAATAATTACAAGGATGAATATGCGCACTTGATGTAATCACTCTTATACTCACCTTATATCTATCATGTTTGTGAAGTTTTTTTGTCTTTAGATCCGATTCATATACAATATTTTGTTTGTACAAAATATTGTCTGTATAAGAGTGGGTTAAAACTTTAATAATTACAAGGATGAATCCCCGTTTATGAAACAAAGCTTTCATGGGTACAAAAGGGTATAAGAGTGGGTTAAAACTTCATATTTTAAAAAAAACAAAGATATCCTACCCTGTATTTTTTTCATGAAATTGATACTCTTTGTGCTCTGGTTTTGTAGTTGAATTTTGTTAGGGAAAGTGACGTTCCTTCACCTTATAGCTAGAGACTTTTTGGCATTTCTAAGAAGAATTTCTTCTTTTACTAAAATGCTATGATCGTTGCAAATCCCAATCTGGGCTCATTGTATCCAAGTGGGTATTGATCTATATTTTTATCATCCAACTATCCCTGCATTTATGTAAATATATGTGTTTTGGTGTTCGAGTTTGTTCGTGCCTAGTGAAGATCGAATTTTTAATTTTTTTGGATCCTGGGTTAACTTTATAAACATCCCTTTCATGTTTGATTGGGGAGAAAATATGTGAAGTTTGCTTGATTTCGTATTGTTTACTGATTTATGGGATTTCATCTATTTCAGCCGCTCAATCAAGGATTTTTGTATAAATGGTAGGTGTGTATTGCTAAATCAATTGCAATAGTTCTTCGATTCACTTTTCTTTATGATATTTTTATTTATTTTTTGTCGCACATTTATAAGTTAGAACCCTATACTTTTCCCAACCTGTGGTTTGAAAAGTGTAAGGTGAACTTGAACTTTAGGAGGACTTTCACTTTGATTCATCATCACCATCACCATGACAACATTATGGTTAATGGGTTAATAGCACGTGATTCATATTGCTGATTAACTGTCTACATAAAAAAAATCATGCAAAAATTAGGGTCAAAGTTATACGCCGGATGCCTTCCCTACTGTTACCTTGTAAATATGGGGAAAATAAGATGAAATTTTAAAACCTTCAAAATTAGTTGATATACAAAATATCACGAGGCAGAAATGAGTTAAATAGTTGATTTAGGTATTCAAGTGTGTAATTTGTTATCTCTGTCTTTACCCAATTTCTTTGGATTTCGTTTGCTTATTTGCAGATAGTTGCAAAGGATCAAAGAGGCTTCTGCTCTATTTGGATTGAAGGTCAGGGAGTATAATTGATGGGTGGTATATTAAGCCTAAATAATCACAAACCCATCTTGACTGCGGCAAATGGGGCTTCACAGAGTGACACACGCAAGAGACGGAGGATTTCAGCTAGTTTCTGGGAAGAGGATCCACCTTGGTTGATCCCCAACCTTCCTGATGAGATATCCTTTCAAATTCTTGCGAGACTTCCTAGAGCTTTTTACTTAAAAGCCAAGTTAGTTTCGCGTGGATGGAAATCTGCTATTATGAGCCCCGAACTATACAAAACAAGAAAGGAACTCGGAACAACCGAGGAGTGGCTCTATGTTTTGACTAAGCTCAACGATGATATGCTTTTATGGTATGCCTTAGATCCCGTCTCAGGGAAATGGCAACGGTTGCCACCCGTGCATGGATTTCCCACCAAAGATTGTGCACCTAAAACGATCAAGATCACAGATGCCGTAAGGCGTTTGTTCAGGAAAAAGGAACCCCTTGACCATATCCCCTTTTGTGGTTGTGCTATTGGAGCCATTGATGGGTCCCTCTATGTCATGGGAGGGTTTTGTAGAGACTCAACCATGAGGTGCGTTTGGCGTTACGATCCGATAAAGAATGTTTGGGATGAAATCAGCCCAATGTCCGTTGGTAGAGCTTATTGTAAGACTGGCATCCTGAATGGGAAGCTTTATGTGGTCGGAGGTGTAACTCGGGATCGAGGTGGGCTTACCCCGCTCCAGTCAGCAGAAGTGTTCGATCCCCGGTCCGGCGTCTGGACGGAAATCCCAAACATGCCCTTCGCCAAAGGCCATATGCTTCCAAACGCCTTCTTAGCCGATTTTCTCAAACCTATAGCCACTGGGATTTCGACTTACAGAGGAAAGCTTTACGTCCCTCAGAGTTTGTATTGCTGGCCATTCTTTGTTGATGCCGGGGGGGAGGTTTACGATCCTGAAACAAACAGGTGGGTTGAGATGCCAATAGGGATGGGGGAGGGGTGGCCTGCCAGACAGGCCGGGTCGAAGTTGAGTGTGATTGTTGATGGTGAACTCTATGCTTTGGATCCTTCTGGGTCAACAAATGCCGCTAAGATAAAAGTGTATGATTCCCAAGGTGATGTTTGGAAGGCGATTGAAGGGGACGTGCCAATTTGTGATCTTACCGATTCAGATTCTCCTTATTTACTATCAGGGTTTCTTGGAAAGATTCATGTGGTAACTAAGGATGGAAATCAGAATATTGTGATCTGGCAAGCAGATAGGCATAATCAGCCCGTTCCATCTTCAGGCACGTATGGTTTCGATGCAAATATATGGAGACTTATTGCATCAAAGAGCAGTGGATCATCAGAGCTTGTCAGCTGTCAGCTTCTTGATATTTAGCGCTGAAGGTCAAGGTCAGTTGGAATCAATCCATCTCTTTGGCTCTGTTTGTTTAGAGAAGAATTTCCCTGGAAAAGTTATGATTTCTCTTTTGTTTGGCATTGGTTTGTGGAAAGTGATTTGTTGTTCTAAAGAGTTCTATGTTTTCTATTTTTGTAGGACACATTAGACATAGAACTACTTGTTTTCCAGGAAAACATTTATCCAGAAATAACTTGCCACGCTAAGTTATTTTCCAGGAAACAAACAGAGCCTTAGTTTTGAGTTTTTTTCAAGAATACATTCTCATCCCGCTCTGGGGAAGTGAGCTTATTCACTTCCCCTATTAAATTAATATGTGGTATATATTAAAGAAAGTATTGTTGTGTGATTGTATGATAAACATTAGAAACAGCCTAAACAATTAATAATTGTCTGTACACAAACAATAGATTGTGTGGAGTTGCGATTGTTAAAAAAAGTCTTACTGTGCAAATACTTCTTAGCCGTTCGGCTAAAGTATTAGAGCCACTGGGCTGAGGATTGTGTTGTCCAGGCTCCCACCGCCTACTTTGGCATCCACCTGATTACATCAATGAATGTGCTGATTACCTGTTTTGAAGTTGTTAACCTGAACTGCAACGTTCATCTTGATCTCAATACTCGGTATATGTGATGCAGAAAAATTATTTTTACTTTGGGTCAATGTGAGGGTATTTTATATCATTTATATTTCTATTCACATTCTACTGATTGTATAGACTAGTCATAGACTTCATTTTATAATTCTGGTTTTAGGAACAGCATTCTTATGCTCAATATTCATTATGTGGCCCATACAATTATATGTTGTTAGTATTTTTGCCTAGGAACATACTTAAAGAACATATTATTTATACTTACAGAATTGATTTGTTTTAAGTACACAGATATAACATAGCTCAAGTCCGGAGAGTATAGTACAGTAAGGAAAGCATTTGGAACTTTGGATTGAAGTTTTCGGAGGGCTTGGTCTATATGTTGATAAATAGAATGTCCCTGAAGGCGAGTAAAAGGTGATTCAAATGCTATATGATCACATGCTATGCTAATCGGTGGTTTTGTTTTGTTTTATACATAGTCGAAGTATATGCTATCTATCCCCTCCAAAATCCTCCCTTCCCAACCCCTCTAATAAAACACTCCATCCAAACAGACCCTTAGAAAAGTTCAATTTCAGTTTTCTTGAAGTGGCACAGATAGATTCAAGGAAGGGTGATCTTGGTCCAGATCACACCGACCGAGATTTGGAGTAGAATCAAAGGATATATCACCTCCCGGGGTGGTGTGGCCCCATGAGCTTGCACAGACTATTGTAATATGCTCTAAACCATAGTCACATAGTTCGCGGAACGCTTCGTTACGGGAACGAGGATTAGGAACGCGGTTCGCTAGATCCAGCGCATCCGATTCGTAGGGGGTAGGTTCATTCCGGTACGCATTTGGTACGCTGTACCACATGTTCGGTACGTCGTATCTTAAATTTTGGTACTATAATAAAACAGAATTCATAAGTCATAACATTAAACAATAACAAATTTTATAATCATAAATCATAACATAAAACAAATTAAAAAATATTAATATTCCAGGAATAAAAAAACAGTAATATTCCAGAAAGGAGTAAAGGATCGGAGAGAATAAAGTAGGAAAAGAAGAGCTTGGCCCTGGCGTACGAAGTAATTTATTTTCCCTCAAATTATAACACTTACAAGTTACAAGGTAACTTGATGAGTAGGATCAGATATCGAAGATCCTGGTTCGAAATCTGTACGCTGTTAGTACACAACGGGAAACGAAGCAAAGCGCCAACCTGTCTCAAATTTGGGAAACGACGCTTCATTCTGGTCAACGACGGGAAATGACGTTTCCATCTGGGCAGTGACGGGAAACGGCGATGCAAATCGATTCACGCAACGTTTAGGAGCGATTCTAAGAGCGATTGCGAGCGTTTGCGAAAAGCGAATGGGACGACTCGCAAACTTGTTAAAAGCGGTCAAAAGCGCGCTTAAGCGCCAAAGCGCAGGCAAGCGCCGGTTCCCCGTCTAGCTTTTGGGAAGCGACTCGCCGTGAGAAAGCTCCACTTTTCCTTCGCTTTTCGTGAGCTCGCTTTTCAATTAAGCGACCGCTTTTCAGAGCTTTTCACAAAAAGCTATAATTTGTCCGGTCAACTTTTTTCAAGTTTCAAGTGTTATCGGCTTCACGCTAAAGATTAGGGTTATATTAGTTCGACTTTCCATGCACCAGACAACGCCGCAGGTGAAGAAGTTGCAGGTGAAGAAGCTGCAGGTTTGGAGTTCGCCCAAACTTTTGTTCGGCTAGAACTCTCCAACTCACCTATGAGCCACACATTCTCTTTCATCCAAAGTGTAAACATCGTTCGTCACTCTTCAGCTTTACTCTGTTTTTTTAGTTTGAAAATTTTCAGTCTTGTTACAGAGAATAAACTGGAATTCAAACCTTAATCAAGTCTTGTTACATTATCTTCAGCGTTTTGCTCTGTCTTTTTTTTTGTTTGAAACACCTTTCAGCCTTATCACAGAGGACTAGTTGCTTGATTAAGGTTTGAATTCCAGTTTATTCCACTAAATTAAATTCCAGTTAATTCCTTTCAGTTTATTGAGTAATTAATTTTTAGTTTATTGACTTTATTCCAGTTTATTCCTTTCTGTTTATTAATTAACTAGCTTTCAAACCCGTGCGATGCACGAGTAGTATGTAATTTAGCTAATTTAAAATTTAATTTCTATCGAATCACATATAATGTGGTTTAAAAGAAAAATAAACTTAGTCTAATATAGAGTGTGTTTGATAATAATACTAAAGTTAATAGAATTAACTTATTTTGCTGAAATTGATTGAATTCTGGTTAAATAGGTGGAATCTTCTGAATTATGAAAAGTATATGTGAAATATATTCAATTTGTGAAACAAAGAAAAAAAATATGAAAAAAAGTTAAATTGGTCTTCTACATAAGCATCTCAAGTAAACATAATTGTTATGAACCCAATAATAAAAAAATTCTATATTTCTTAATTGTTAGATCTTACACTTTACTCATTAATAAGAACGTTTTTAATTGAATTAAAATTTCGGGTTTGATTTGGTATGAATTAATATGGTCTATTAGATGTCTATTTTTTATGTGACTTATTGTTATAATTATTAAAGTTTGATCTGATCTGATTTAATCTGGAACTGAAATCAATCTAATTAAAAACATTCTATTAAAATAAAAGTAGGAATTCGTAAACCTATAAAGATTTTCTAATTTGGATTAGGAATCTATTTCAAAAGTGAAGGCATATTTGAATTTTAGGTGTAAAACAAAGAAACAACCAAAAAAATTTACTTAGTTGGCTAAGCTAAACATATTTACTTGTGAAAATATATATACTTTATGTTGGTTATAATTTTTAAATTCATTTTTAATTATTTACTTATTTGAAGCTTACTAATTTATTAATAGGTGTCAAATTAATAAGTAAACTAATTTGCATATTTGTTTCTATTTAATTCGGAGTATAAATTAGTTTCCATATCAATAAACGTTATTAGAATTTCACTTTGATAACCAAAAATTATTTTACTTATTTGAAGCTTACCAAATTAATTAAGGTGGATTTATAAGGATTTTTGTTTCCATATCAATACAACAACAACAACATCCAAGCCTTAGTCCCAAAAGATATTGGGGTCGGCTAACATGAATCGATACATGATATCACAACCAAAAGGAAAAGAAGGAATAAAGATAAAAAGATAAGCTATGATGAAAAGATAATATAAAAAAGATGAATATATATAGAAATGATAAAATAAAAAGGCTGCAAATAATGCATATATATATATATATATATATATATATATATATATATATATATATATATATATATAAGGATAAAAAAACTAGGAAAAAAAGATGAGGGAAAAAGATTATCAAGATCACTCCTTCACGTGAATACCCGCCCTCCACTTAGTTCTCTCCAAAGTCATGCCCTCATCCAACCCCAGAAGAAGCATATCACTTCGAACTCCCCTAACCCACGTCTGTTTGGGTCTTCCTCTCCCTCTCTTCCCTGCCTCTTCTCCACACATCTCAACTCGCCTAACAGGTGCATCACTCGGTCTTCTACGCACATGACCAAACCACCGTAGGCGCGACTCCCGCATCTTGTCTTCAATAGATGCTACTCCCACCCTTTGTCTGATTGTCTCATTCCTCACGCGGTCCTTCCTAGTATGCCCACACATCCAACGCAGCATGCGCATCTCTGCCACACTCATCTTTTGAATGTGACATTGTTTCACCGCCCAACACTCTACGCCGTACAGTAATGCAGGCCTAATTGATGTCCTATAAAATTTACCCTTCAGTCTAGTCGGCATACCTCGGTCGCATAGAAATCCTGACGCACTCTTAAAAAATAAAAAATAGAATCTAATAAAAACAAAAGGTATAAAAATAAGTAAATAAATGTTATATATAATGACATGCTAGGATTATGTGGTGCTTTGTATGCTCTTAAAAAGTTTCTCTTATATATATATATATATATATATATATATATATATATATTGATTAATTTTTGTTCCAAAAAAAATAATTAACTTTAAGTTTATTCCAGTTTATTCTTTTCAATTTATTGATTAATTAATTTTTAGTTTGTTCCAGTTTATTCCTTTCAGTTTATTGGTTAATTAATTTTTAGTTTTTTTTCAGTTTCATTCCTTTCAGTTTATTCATTAATTAATTTTTAGTTTATTCGAGTTCATCCCTTTCAACTTATTCGAGATTAATTAATTATGACTTTTAATACAATTACGTTTTTGCATAATTGTGTGATGAATGTTTTGTCACTTTTTGCCGCACTAGTATTATTCTTAATGACTTTTTTTTTGACTACTTGTGCATTTTTGGCTTAATTATAAATTATATATTATATTTTTATTTTTATTTTTTATAAGATCACTTTTTGTGAGAAAGCTACACTTCGCTTAGCGCTTTCGCATTTAAGCAAAGCTCAAAGTCATCGCTTTTGGACGCTTTTCGCTTTACAAAAGTTTGACGACTCGTCGACTGTACAGATTAGTGTTCCCATCCGCGACCGGATCGATTTCGTACCGTGATTTATGTATCTATGCTCTGAACATATCTTGCTTCTTATTGCCACTGCTACCATTTCTCTGTCCGCCCATCCCCGCCTTCCTAACATCCTTGGACTGGCAGAGTGGAATCTGGATCAACTAGTGTATCATATTTCTTCTCTTCCAGAAGCCCCTTAACCTGAAGCAGAAGAGCAAATTTGGAAAGGAATTATATTGGGGATCCGTTTGTTTCAGGCCATGCATATATTTTCCTTTAAGCTTTTCCTTCTGTCTCACTCAAGAACATTCTCTGGAGGAAAAGCTTTTTCATGCTGGTAAAGAAGAATGTACCACACAGGGAAATTAAAATTGTTGAGGATTTTTCTTCTCCCGAGTGTTTTGGTGGTTTGTCATCAGAAAATAAGGAAGACAACTCAATAACTAATACAGACCAATTTTTTTTGGTGACATTTTTGTAATTTAAGCGAAAAATCACGGATTCCGCTAAATGAGCAATATTGTACTTTTAGTGATCATCTGACCTATTTTATTGAGTATTAGGAAGCTAACAATGAGTATCACGATCTGCGCTTCATATCTTCTAATTCTTTTTCTTTTTCTTATTTTTTCTTTTATAAAAACTTATTAAATTATATCTATAATTCACTCTTATTAATTTCAATATGCGAGTCTAATGTAATATGATACTTTTGAAATATGCATTGATATGACATTGTAAAAGTGAGCATAACATCAGTACCAAATAAGCATACATAACTACAAAGTGCACATTGATATGAAAATCGTAAGGTTTTGTTAGTTCAACATCTTGACATTTTAATTAAGCATCAAACCTCCGTTATTGAGATGAAAATCACAGTTTATTGTGAATGAGCATTAATGAACTTTTAATAAGCATCAAACCTA